TTTGATGGCTTGGTTCTGGAAGTCAATGTCGTCTCTGCATAATCGTCGTAGCCGAAGGAACTGTGAAAAAGGGAGAGAGTTTTTAGTGTGTTTGGGGTGAAATGAGCTATACAGGAGATAGTTGTGTGAATCCATGAGTTTGTAATAAACCAAAGTGGAGAGTCGGGGGTACTAGATGGAGAAGTTGATGTTTAGAAACATCCCTAAGATAAAATATGTGCATATACCTCAAAACTATTATACAGTGACACTACACTAACAGACATGAAAAGTAATAAAGAAACAACCTCTCCAAACTAAGTATATTCTGAGTGTACAGTACATGTAGTTCTGGGTCATATATAATCAGTGCATTACTGCAACCTATTACAGTGTACCCATTCTGCCTGGTTTGAATAAAGAAAAGAGGAACAAGAAACAATTTAGGTCATGCACATTTCTCATTAGTTATTACTTATTTTTGGTAAATCAGCATTCAGGAGCAAAAGCAGATCTTTACCTAAAGTATTGTCAACAAGCTACCCAGCCATGTTTCTGAAACTAATACCTTGGCTTATTTCACATAACTGCTGCATATCCTTGAATCAATTATCTACTAACTACTTAATTAGACATATGGGTGATATGGCATGCTCTTGTTTTTTTATATTCTTACCATCTCTTTGCAATGAATTATTAAGAATTCCAATAAGAAGAACATGATCAAATATTTGAGGGAGGGAGAACCTGTCTTTATCCAAGTCTTCTGTGACTCTCCAGCAGCTCTTGCAATTTAAGGGCAATATTTATCTTAGGTGTTGAGTTATCCCTCTATTCCCTGGAAAGGAAGAGAAAATAATGAAAAAATCACCTGTGGTGGAGTGTTATTGAAAGAAAGGGTTTATACTTATAATTTCTTACTCTCAAATTATTTTAAAAAAGTACCAGAGCCATACTGTTGAGTCTGTCGATTTCTTCTTCTGTCCTTAATGACAAACAATGCCATAAAGCGACATTAACAAGATTGATAGACTATGTACTGTATAGCACTTTTAAAATTTACAGTTTGCAGTTTCTAGTATTACAGATACTAGTTTCTGATATCTACAGATAGAGTGCAATTAGTTCATTGGAGTTGATTCATTGTGCAAACAATTTGTGACAGTTACACTAAGAAAAAAATCAAATCTTAATTTGGTTGCTTAGCTTTAACTAATAGATGCTTAATCTTGTTTTGTAGATCAGATATTCTCCTGCAGTCATCTTAAATCTCCAATGTGCTGAGTAGTTTGTCACTAAGGAAATAGAATCATAATCCACCTACCTTCCCATTTCTCTTGCTGTTCCTTCACCAGCAAGAGACTCATTCTGCCATATTTTTATTCTGTATTCATATAAATCTTAGACTCAGCCAGGCATTTTTATTTTTATGTTGTTTGCGCTGATTATTGTTTTTTCCTGCTCTCCCGCCCACTCTTTTTCTCTCTGGTCCCTAATCAAATTACCTGTATGAATGCCTGTAATTTATCGGCCGGTCAGCCAACAAAATAATTAGTTTTCTTCCAATGGTTATCAGCACCAATTGGAAGTGTATAATCTCGGGGCCCTGTGGAATACCTTTTAATAATGACTGAAACGAGCAGTTTATGTAGAAGCAAGGTGGATGGAAGGAAATATGTGTGTGTGTGGGGGGGGGGCTTTCTTTCACCTCCTCCACAGTCATTTGAATTCCAGGTTAATTCACACCTGACCCAAATTAGCTTTTGATGTGCAGTAGAATGGAGCTTGAATTCAGCAGGGAGTGAGGTTTTACAATTAAGCTTACTCACACAGACATTTTCAGGAACACCTTGAAAACAAAATATTTTCTTCTGCTTCTTCATGTTCTCCAAAAGCAGACTTTTCTACAACATTGTTCTCTTTAGATTGGCTGGGAGGATGTGTCACACATTACGTCCAAGTTATTTCTACGCTACATGTAAACATTGCACACAGGAGACATTAATTAATGCGGAGATTGTTTCTTGTTTTACAGTAAGCATATGGGTACATACATTCATACTCTGTATTGTCTATCAAATTTGGTTTGTTTTTAAAAAACATGCAGCGATAACACATCCTAGAGTTTGCCTGCACAAAACTGGTAGAGAGATGCTAAGTTTTACCTACTCAACTTGATATAGGAATCTGGGTGTAAACTGTCAAGGAATATAAACATGGACTGTATTAATGGTTAAAAACAGAACCAGGTGAACCACTTGTGTACTTAGTGTTGGCAGGAAAGCACTCTTAATACTGAATGATTCCTCACACCCACTAACACCCAAATTTCCAATTTGAAAAGCTACCGTTTGCTCTACGTTTTAGAGTACCCATGGTTACAAAAATATTTTTTAAAAATCATTCATTCCAATTTGGCATCACTCTTTTAAACTCTGATGTATGAGCCCCTTCAGAACACTGTATTGACAGCATATATATGTATTGAATCTTATATTTTTTGTACTGTTTGGTATTGCTATATAGCATTGATTGTATACATCATGCCTTTCGGATTCATTGTAATAATAAAACGTTTGGTTCATGGATTGAAAATAATATTATACATTAAAACAGTTTAATCTGTGTAATTTCGTTTTGCTTTCCAATTACTCATTTATTAAAAGGGAACCCTAACCTCCATTTAAATACAATGCTCTAAGGTTTGTATTGATTCTGTGACCAACAGTCAATTTTTGTATCTAAATCAGTTAATTGAAGATGGTGTAGATCTAATTGGATTATTGCTTTCTGCCTCAAGGTGCAGTTCTCCTCTACAGCATGATGCTCGCAACATTAAAGTCACATTTCTGTTATTTAGAGGCATGTAGAGGCATGTACAGGCTTTGAATTGGACACGAGCAGATAGAATGAGAGAAAATGAAAGAAACCATAGTTCAACATATCTCTCTAAAGCCTGTTTTCATTGTAAGTTTGCCCATAAAATAAATACTGTGATTAGTTAAACCTGAAATGTAGTCAGTTATAATGTTCCAGTCTTCATCATTAAGCAATAAAATTACTTTGCTTTTATAGCTGAGGTGCTAGTTTAACATACCTATCTGTGTCTTCTTTGTGTTTTGGCATATTTTATTTTTTAACTGATTGGCGGTGCGGTGGCTCTGTGGCTAAGGATCTGCGCCTTTGGCTTGAAGGTTGCCGGTTCAAATTCCGTGGCCAGCAGAGGAATCCTACTCCATTTGGCCCCTGAGCGAGGACCTTAACCCCAACTGCTCCAGGGGTGCTGTACAATGGCTGACCTTGCACTCTGACCCCAAGCTTCTCTCTCTGTCTCTGTGCCTCATAGAGAGCAAGTTGGGGTATGCAAAAAGATTAATTCCTAATGCAAGAAATTGTATGTGGCTTTTAAAGTGAACTTATCTTTTATATAGAAAGTTTCCATCTGTGTTCCCTTTAAAGTGACAAGTGCTTTAATAGACATTTTCATGTTTTGCTTTTGTAAATTTTAAAGGAGGGTGTGTAATAAAGTCATTCTGGGAAAGTAGTCTTGTCAAGTGTAGTAGTAATTTCAAGGAAAGTATGACAACTTGCCAGTGACTGTATGCAGTGGTGGGATGAGTAGTTTGTTCCCTTAACAGTCTGCACAGACTTTGTATCCCTCATTCTGTGCTGTGGAAGATCTGCAATACACAGCAGAATCCCAGCGTCTCAGGCTCTGGGGAACTGTACATTATGCAAATGAGGACATTATTTGCATAGCTCTAATTAGGTAATTACAAATCATTTTGCTATGAGATCAAGCGTGCGCTTAGACAAGAAGGTTTGTATTATTCAATCTGCCTCAGCTCTGCTTATTTAAGTAATTTGTTAGTGTAACTACTTACAGTAGCTAATAAAAAGAGAGCTTTATCTTCTGACACCCTAAATGCCATAGGTATTCTACCAGGAAACCTGTCTGTACACAGAGGTTAGAAATTTTATTATTGTTGGTGAGGGGGCAAAACATGAAAAGGCAATTAATTTTTCAAAACTGGAAGTTAAGGTCTTAATGAGAATACAGAGTGAAGTAACACTGACGGAATGTGCTATATCTGTGTGAGGTTGGCATACTGAATGTGAGACAGCAGTGTGCATGCTGAGTGATTGACAAAGCTGGGGTATTTTTAAACCATCTGTATCTCAAACCACTCTTCTAGCTGAATATTCAAGATTATTTTTTTCATTCCTATTATTTTACAGCTGAAAAGATTTTTATACCTTCACAGAACAGTTGTAGTGTAGTAAGCATAGCCTTTTTCTAAGCCCTTCAGTCGTAACTAGGTTGATCAGAAATAATTGTTACCATTATTGGAGTAGTTATTATTTATTACCTAAGAGTTCCCAGTCTTTTTCCCCATTAACTCCAGTAATAATTGTTTTAGGCCAAGCAACAGCAGTAGTAGTATATAGCATAAAAAAATCTGAATGATATGCCTACTGGAGATGAGATTTGCAAAAACTAGAAATGGTTCTCACCGGTCTGAAAAAGTGAAAGTTGATGTGAATAGAAATATTTAATACAATGGATGTCTTACTCAGTGGTGTTATTTTACAAAATGGGTGTTTCATTGTATGTTTGGTGGTGGGGGGGCAGCAAAGATCACATTACTAGGATTCCTGCTACCCCTGGGTTCTCCTTGTACTAACTACTTTTCCAGAGGTAGTGGCAGGGGGGATTGCTCCTGTCACCCTAAATCTCTTCCCTGCACTAAAATCATCAAACACACAACTCATGTTGTACTTTTAAAAATGTTCAGAATTCAAAATTGGGGGCTCCCCTGCCATTTAATTCTGTTTTCTCTTCACTCTCCATTCATTCATTTCACCATCCCTCAATGACATCCTTAGCCTCACTGCTGTGGCAGTGACAGGATAAACACGTGACGTGCTATATGCAGAAATGATGCATTATACCATGTTTGGATATTTCCCAAGTGTTATCAGCACTTTCAACTAACACTTCCTTTTTCTTTGTGTTACAGAGCAAGAGGAGTCGTTTGAGTTCATGATTGTGTCGCTGACAGGACAGATGTGGCAGTTTGAAGCTTCCACGTATGACGAGAGGGAGCTGTGGGTCCAGGCCATTGAGAGCCAGATATTTGCCAGTTTACAATCCTGCGAGAGCAGCAAAAACAAGGTCTGAACCTCAACAGCTGCGGTCAAATAATAGTGCTGAATATTCTGATATTTGAATATCGTAATATTGATGTAATATTTTATTAATTTTAGTTTATATACAGTATGTGTACTTACAGTGAAACCTGAGTAACTAGTTGTAGCAGAGCCTTATTGTATTTAATATTAATGTTTGCCATCACCTAACTGAAAAAAAAAAACATTGTTTGAAGTAGTTTCAGCATTTGTGATTTTCCTTTTCCTGTGGGGAAAAAATGGCACTGTGGCTGAATTTCTGCCCCACTCACAGTTAGAGACATGGATGAGGCAGGTTTAAACAGAATGACATACAGTACTGTACAGATTTGATTCAGCTTAGAGACATAACCCAAGGCCCTATCCCTGTGCAAAAGCATGGATCTGAGAGGTTTTATCCCTCCTTTGCTAGATGTGCTTTGCAAGTGACCAGCCCTGCTCTGCATCTAGGTTTTCACTGCTGTGAGATCTGGGAAACCAGGCTGCTGAAGGGCAGGCTCGATGCAATCTCTCCCCAGCTGCCACCTGCGAGACAGAGGCAGACAGGTGCACTGCAGCATGGGAGCTCCTTATTAAAGCTGACAGGCTTCAGGCGAAGAACACGGCCTGTGTCAGCAAGCAGAGTTTCGTTTTAATATTCTTTTTTTAATCAGGCGCAGACTGCCTTTTCTCATCCAAGAACCCCTCCCCCACCTCCCACCTAACCACCTCCTTCACATTCTCTCCCCTGCTTACCTGCGATTACTTTCTAATGAATAACATCCTGCTGTCATTTTTTTTTTTCAGTCTCGGTTGGGCAGTCAAAGTGATGCACTTGCCATCCAGTCAATCCGCAATGTGCGAGGAAACAGTTTCTGTGTGGACTGTGAAGCACCCAGTAAGTACAGATTCCAGGTCTTGACACACCCTCTAGTACCCACACACTCATTCCTTTTTTACTTCTGTTTCTGATTTCAGTGCTGGGCCCAGCTGTTGCCTCAGTCTCTTTCCTATTTCCCCAGGAGGCATGTTGACTGTGTAGTCACTATATCAAAGAAAAGAGTGCAGAAACATAAGGCGTTTATGTGGCCGAAAGTCTCATACACCATATTGAAATTGAACAGGACCAGTTCAGCTATTTTTTCCACTCTTACATCAACATCAGTTGTGATGAGATACGTCAGACATTCACGAACCAAGTGAACTGATACATTACATGATAAATCTGAACCAGAGCTACTGTGTAATTACAAAACACATTTATTTTTTTCCCTTTAAAACAGATTATTAGATGCCCATTAATATATGATCCACTGTTTAAAAAAACTAGTTTAGTAATATATAAAATATATATGAAAATATCCATATTACTCAATGTAACTGAAACTGTTTATTTTAAGCAACTTCAAACTGACAAAGGATATTTTATTGAAACTGAATATTGTTTTGACTGGGATCAACAAATAAGACTATATGATTCAGGATTTTGATAGAAGAAGATAATACAAAGATAATGCAAGATAATACAAGTAATACAAAGAAGTTTGTATTATTTGGACTCCACTCCATTATTATTTTATTGATTTGGATTACATGGTGTTGCATTAAGACATAAAACAACCAGAAAACTGATTTTTATTTTATTCCAGTAACTCATTATTATTATTATTATTATTATTATTATTATTATTAATAATAATAATAATAATAATAATAATAATAATAATAGTTACAAACTCGTACTGTAGTTTGTATACAGAAGCAATTAAAAATGCTGACTGCAGTGTTTTAGCTACTCTGAACTATCGAATTTTTTCACACGTTTATACTACTGAAAGAGAGCTAACATACTACATGTGTTTTTATCAGACGTTCAAGGATACAACAGCAGTATCCAATCCTGGATTT